GGACTCCTAGGGGAGATGTTCCACGCTCCCACCCGGCACACCTCGTAGTTCCGTGAGTTGCCCAGCAGCCCGGAGATCGCCATGGTCGGCATCCTCGACGTCTCACGGGTCGGTGGGAAAGCAGATCGACGGGTCGGCACCCCACCGGGCGGAAGGACGGGACCTCCAACCTGTGAAGCAGGACGTGACTCGTTTGGCCGATCCCCTTTTCCCGGGAACCTCCATGGATCGGACGGAAGCGTCCGTGGACGCCACGGGGAGTTAGGCAGTGGGCGAATGACAAAGGACTTCTCGTCTTGTGAGTCCACCCAACATTGCTTCGGACCAAGAACCCCAAAGGCGTGGGCTTACTAGCGCTGTACTAGGGATTCACACCATTTACCTACCATTCGAACTAGCGAGAAATCTGAGTCTCCAAAGGACAGCGGTTCATCAAGCTATGCGATTTGCAAGGTAACAACTTAACTTGGACCAAACCCCCGAACAGAATTGGGAATTTGTTTCGGCTATAACTTCGGAATGTGTGCTTGAAACCCACTATGCCAAACGCAGTATTCCCTGCCCGGTGTGTTTGCCGTTTCGGCACCATTTGTCCAACCTATACCCACTCAATGAGTAAGGCTTAGTGTTGGAGCAACAATGCGAGTGCACCAGGATAAACGATTTTCTGCTAGGTTTTGGCCGTAGCTCCCATTACATTCGTCCCGTTATTAATGAAGGCTTTTTCCCATGGCCGCAGCCTTCCTTTCTTTTCCGGACAGCAACAAACATGGTCCACAAAGCGCTCCCCGAAAAATCTTGGGCGAAGCTTAGCATCAGCTTGCTGGATTTGGCCACGATCTTCAACGAAAACCTCAATTCAGCAGTTTCAGTGGTTTCTGGATAAAAAAGAATGGTGTTTCTTGTCCCTCGTATGGCACCAATACTACAAAACAAAAATTGTTCACTCTGTCTCTCCTCTTCGTTTGTCGCTATGGCACTACTGTGCAAATCCCTCGTAAGTCAGTAGGACAACACACCTAGTCTACCTTAAACCATCTTAAACCTAGAGGAATCTGCAAACAAAGCCACGGCGGAAATCCGAGAAGCATTGGCATTGCCTACAGAAATCATTTCAAGCTCCACTTGGGACCTCAAACATCCAGTGAGGTCTATATGGGCACCGTTGAGGTAAGTGCAGGCGTTCAATGTGCACTCTGGCCCATCATGTTGCTGCGGGTAGCAGAAGCGCACAAAAGAAAAACACACAAATACAAATTATCGCTAGCATGTTTCTTACCGTCGCCGTGCCTGCAGCCAGCGTTGGATCGTATTCCCCTTGGAAGCAAAACTGTGAAATTCCCCGAACTGAAAAGCCATGGGCCATCAAACCAAGGTTTTAGGTTTTAGGCCAGCCTATATTTTTTTTGTGTGTGGCCTCAGGGTCTTCCATGGGAACTATTCAAACAAACCATTGGGAAACCCTGTGGTTTGTTCTGGCTGCACCACTTCCCCCTCCTTCCATTCCAAGAAACTCCACGTAGTGCGTGGAATATTGCGAAAGGCTGTTGGACAGAAACCTCCAGCACATTTCCGGAGCATGAAACATGTTCTGACCTGCAAACCGCAAACCATGAAACAATCATGAGCCAAGAGACCCTAAGATCATGGTTCTTTGGTAAGAAAATGTGGGAATGTATGCCTCTAGCAATCCACGCTCTCGGGTTCAACAACCTCCTGGCACACTTACATGTTTGTGTGTGTTAACGATTTTCACCCACCAGGTTGTAGATCGTATTGGACCTGGCAAATGCACACAAACAGTTTGGAGCCCGGAGAGGTAGCAAGCCATCGTGCAGCTGCAATTTTGTTGCTCAAAGTTTCGCAACCAATGACATTTTCCAGCGACGTCGCGGCCGCTGATATGTGTTCAAGCCTTAGAGCGGGGTTATATAAATCCCGGACAGTTGCCCCAGCTGAAGTACATGTGTCTGGATGATTTGAAGCGGCTCAAGACCTTTGAAGGAATAAAACAAGTAGAGAGCCAGCTTTCACTTGACCCTTTTTTGGGACCAAGGCACACCATCATGGAGATTGCCAAAAACCTCGGGCGGGCGAGAATACGGCGGAACGGCTGCGTACCACGAGAAACCCTTGTTCAACACACACACTGATTCTACTCAAGCCATCCATGCATAGATTACAATTACATACAATTACTCTGCACACACTATGTTACTGTGCTGGGTTTGCAGCGGACAAGCGCAAACGGCTGTGCAAGACTTAGACCTTTTAGGTGAGGGTCTTTAGATTTTATGTCAGCGATCCGGGCGCAGCCGTCACCTCCTCCTCCGCCTCATTCTCCTCCGCCTTTCGGGCCGGGCCGCTAATTGGAGTTGCGCAATATCAGCTTGAACTAAGCACTAGGAAACGCATTGGCATGTTGCATGGGAACGGAGCCCAGGCTTTGCGCCCTGCAATGCTTGCAATTGCAGGACGCTGCAAGTTTCTTCGCTGGGTCTCATGGGAAGTTCAAGGGGCCAACGACGCTCCAAGAAGAAGGAACAAACTGAAAAGACATCAGGTCGCAGCCTCTGCGAACGTGCCCCTGCTTTAGCAGTTGAGCTTGAGGTGGCAGCATGCTGGACACATGCCCCATGACCTCCACAGCACTGTCGTCCTCTGCCGGACTCAGGCTAACCTGCTGCGGACTGCCGTCTTGCAAGAAAATTGGCGGAGTGAAGTAAAGCTTCAATGTGGCACTAAGAGCCCTGCAGCGGATGAAGGGTGGTCGTAGTACTCTTGTGAGTTCGTTGTCTTGCTACACCATGGCCAAGACCACGAGCCACCATCTGCCCTCCTCAACTACTGCCCGGGAGCCTGTGACTACAAAAGCTGGAAGTGACAGCTTTGACGCCAGCTGAAGCAAATTAGAGCCAGGTAGGGACGGTAGGGATGAATAAAATCGTCAGTCACCTTTGACGATCTAGCACAAGCATGACCTTGAAAATAAATAGCCTAAATGATGTGGTCACCTTGCACGTGCCTGCTCCCCAACGAGCATTTAAAGGACACAATGAGTCATTTCAAGGATGATCCCATGCCCGTGCCTGACTCGGTGGGGTAATAGGAGGCCAAACTGGGAGAGCAAAGCAAACGGATGCGGGAGCTGCGGACAAACCAAAAAAGGGATGAATTGCAGTGCATAGTCAGTAACTCACTTTGCACTCATATAAACCCCATTTGTGGCGCTAATGTTGTATTACAAGATATTACAAGTATTCCATACATGGATGGCCTGGGCTAGGATACACCCAAAATATCACCGATTGCACGCGACCGTTCGGGCCAAGCGGCGGCTTCCAGCTGTGCAGCGATCCAGCCAATACCCAGTGTTGCTGGCTGCGGGGAAGCAGGAGCGGTAGAAGGGCACAAAAGGCGAACTGCAGGAAGACGCTCCACAAGGTAATGCCTAACGTGGCAGGACGGTGGAAATTCCGCTGATTTAAAATTACAAGCTAGTCTCTTGGAACGTGGTACCGACCCAACACAGTGTTGAAGTGGGGCAACAAGGAGCCGAACACCCTACTATCGCTGCAATCACTGGGAACCCTTGATTAACAGTTAGAGTGGTTGCGTCCCAACAACCGGATTTGCTTGGATGTTTGTGCTGCCCATGGTGACAAACAAACCTGTTCCACTCAACCTCTACAGCGTGACGTCTAGAACACCTTGGATGTCACCGGGGCACTCGTTGGCACTTCAGACATCGTGACCAGCGCCTCATTGAGCGCCTCAAAGACCACGTGGCAAACGAAAAAGCCCAGGACGGCTGTCGCGGCACCCAGACGCGGTACATGGCTGTCCGTCATGGTGACAGCTTGGCATGGCTGGGCAAGGACTTGATGCGAGGCACTCTTAGGTAAAATCTGCTACAAGAAACACCAGCCCTGACTCTTCTGTGCAAATAGTGTTCAACAGATTTGTTAGCTACAGTTTGGCTGTCGCAAATAAGAATAGGTCAGTCTACAAACAGCTCATTTTCCAAGCGCTAGTTAGTCTGCTCTCTTCAATCCACTCGCCTCAGTCTACCGCCCAGCCTTGAGCCGGGGAAGTCCTCGGATCTTAGACCATCCCTGTCCCTCGACTGACTCGTCAACGACGAAAAGATTTGTTGGACAAAAATGCCGTCGGCCGTTTCCTTCGTTTCACGAAGTGACCGGCGAGACTGACAGGTGGCTCCAGCAGTTTCCAAATGTTTCCAACAAGGTTCCACCGACCGTTCCATGTTTGAGGTTGACCTGTACCATCAACCACTCAAAGCCAGTGGACTGAAACATCGTTTCAGGCGTAAGAAAACAGGGAGCTCAACAGTATGAAACCAAGGGGCTGTGAGAATGGCCAGTTCACCCAAGATCGAACTCAAATCCTCCGAACAGCTTCAACCGCCCCTTTTGGTGACCAGCTAAGTTCAGAGCGATGGATTGCTATTGCAAGCCACTCTGAACTTGAACACTGGGGTGGGTGGCTTTTTGTGTTCTACCCCTATAAGCTCAATTGAAACACTCTTCCTTGCGCGGGAAGCCACCAGAGAAACATGCCGCAACACAAGATCCAAGATCTGAAATCCACCGGGGTCTGTAGGGAAGATCCATCTCGAAAGGGATCTGAAACCCAAACACTCCATGTAGGGAATAGTATACGTATAAATATATATGTTAGAGAGAGAGACATAATGTAATATATATATATATATACACTGTATGTATGTCCAATATGCCTACATAGACACCTGAAATAGTTTCTGTGTTTTTGATCAGGGTGCCACTCCCCTCAACCAGGTGCTCTGTTGCAAGATCAGAAGAAAGCAGGAGGAAAATACATGAAAATACATGAATCGAATCAAATAAAGGTGTAGATACGTTATGATACTTTTTCAGATATCTTCATCCTCCATCTGTCAGACCCATTGGTGATATTTGATTCCTCGTCCGCCTTCCTTATCTTCTTTCCCCCTACGCCTCGTCCGCCTCTCCCAGCTCACATCCGAGACGAGCCTCGTCTCGATCCGCCGGGTGATGGCGGGTTCCCGCAGGTTTTGTCCGGTGAAAGCATGGTGGCCTGTGCTCCAGTCCATGGTTTGCCCCAAGATAGATCTCAATATGTGCCAAACCTGGACCTGGTTTGCCCAGAAAAATACTTGAGTCCATGGTTTGCCCCAATATCTCAACATATCTCATATGTGCCTAGCTCTAACCCACGATGACCAGACCCAGGACACCCACAGGTGTTTTTCTCCGCTTCGTCCAGTAGCCGGCGTCGGGGATCTGCCTGCTCTGATACCCCCCAACCGAGTATGTGACCCTGTACAGTGGGACCATCAAATGAACATAGACAGAACGACCTGCTGCAAGGAACCCATGATGACCATGTATAAGAACTTGACTCCGACAGATTGGTCAAGAGATGTCAAAAGACTGTGGCCCAACATGAGCAGCTGTTCTTGCCATGGTGCAGTTTGGAAAAGAGTGCAATTTTGAGCTCTCCGATCATCTGTGAAGTCTACTATAATTCAAGCCATGTGCGCCCCCACGTGGTGAGACAAACTTCGAGGTGAATATGGGAGCTTGTCATCTATCTTCAAGACCCTTTTTGGGAGTACACTCCGACTCACGAACAAGGAAGTGGAAAACCCCCTGTTTGTAAAGGAAAGTAGTCTTCCCAGGGACCATGCCATCAACTTTCATGTTAGTGAGTCAGAGTGTACACCCTTGCCTCTCCTGGATCCTCACAGTCGCCTAGTGCACCGGCGCTGCAGCGCCCCCAAAACGGTCTCAAAAGACCTTCCTGGGTGCATCCACTTGGCTCACGGAAAGTCCACCACGTCCAGAAGTTAAGGGTTCCAACCTTGGCCCCCGCTTTTCCCCAATTGAAAGCAACGCGCTTTTCGTGTTCTTCGAAAAAGGCGGGACATCACAAGTAAAGGCGGGACATCACAAGTCATTTGTTTTTCCTTCTGCTCGCCTTCTCTCTTTGGGACATTCCACGGAGGCAGGTCGACTGGGCACATCTGTGCATCCTTTGTATAGATTTCTATTATACCATTTAATGGCCGCACGGCACATTCACCATCTATTGGCATGTGGCTGATGCCTGGAAGCCAAGGTCAAGCTTTCTGGCATCGGTTCCTTCAACTCGGAAAGTTTCACAGCACGTCCCACATCGCTCCTCCAGTTGCTCTGCCCAAGACCGCTGGGTGGAAAGCCCACCAGGACCTGGCGAGTTCACCCTGCAAATGAGCCTTACAGGCATTATCTACCACTCTCCAAAACAAGCAACCGATAGCAACCGCCTAGTAGAGCATGTTCTTATCCTCCAAAATGTGGGGTGCCATATTGGTTTTTGGCAGGACAAATCTGCGAAGGCGGTTTTGTCCCGACTGAATCTGTTGCACACAATGGGAGGACAAGCGAACACTCCTTTATCAAAAAGCTTCAGCTTTCCAAGAAGAAACCAAACAACATATAATTATATGTATGTACTGATGGTTCTATATTACATAATATTACATATAAAGCCAATAGCCAGAAGCCTAGAACAGATTTTCATTAGCTGGTAGCTGGCAAATGCCCAATGACCGTCGAACTCTGGACCCATGGGAGGTCCAGAACGCAGCGCTCGCGGCGCAGAAGTCGATGGGGGTGGGATGTCCCACGTGCCGATTTCATCCAGAGGCGCGGGTGGGTCGATGTGCATTTAAGAGCCCAAGCTAGAGTCGCCAGATCAACGTCGAGCAACGCAAGAGATCCACTGCACTTGTTGACGCTGCGAGGCCTGAAGAGTAGGGAGTCGCGTTCTGGCCATGTTGTTGAGGTATTAACTTTCTGGAAGTGTGGACAGGGAACGTCGGTAACAGACCTGCCATAATGAATCACCTGAAAAGTGTTCGTTCCATCAGCCTTCATCTTGAAGCAGCATAAGAGTCTACCTCCTTGTTCGGGTCAGTTCGACATGACCGACGCGGCTGGCCTTGCGAAGCAAAGAAGCAAAGGGGCATCTGCAATCGAACCTGTCGCATTTGAGTCAACAACACCTGCAGCAATTCTGTTGTTGACTGTAAACTCTGGGTGCCTGGATAGTTTAAGTCTCAACTAAACAAAATTGGTACGAACATCCACCTGTCAAAAGTGCTTGCAATTGGCAACACAGCCTCACCAGGAACGATTTTGCTTGCTGGTTGAGGGGATTTGGTCAAGTTGACTGTCCCCCTGAGGTAACTTTGAGAATCACAAACGACCAGCAATTACACAATCAAAAAATATTCAACCTGTCTCATTGAATCAGTGAGCAAGCACCTTTAGGAAATCCTTCGAGCCATCACTACCAAAACCACTGTTTCCGCCGTTCGCCAACAGGATAGATCTCTAACCAAAACCTCCTGGTGGACATAGCTACACCCTGAGAATTCAAGTCGGACTCATTATTTTTAACCTCTTGGCAGTAATAAATCACGACTCCCAGGCTGTCCCAGGTGTGGCAAAATGCATCAATCCGGAACTTCTGGGACACATTGTCTCCACACCCTCGTTGAAAAAAGCAATCTCCGGGCGCCCAAATAAGGTGCTGTCGTGCGTTCTTCGGGCCCATCGTCTCCACTGATGCGTCTCTCGTCATATAACCCACCAGCACCCACTCAGCGCTTACCCAACTGTCATGGTCTTAAGTCGCACTTCAATTGCAAACGGGATGACAATGACCCAGAAGCAGTACAGTACAGAAACACGATGTCACCAAGGGATGGATCACAAGAACAAAAAAGGTGGTTTCGTCCATACTTGGGTTAATACTCTAATATAGGAGTTCCTGAGTATCGGTGCCCGCATCTCGGTCAAGGAGGTTTCTTCATCCTCATGTTCAACACCGAACCTCCAAACCTCACAGTGCACCATCTCTACCAGCTGCCCATTCTCCACTCCAACGGCTTCCCATATCATCGGTCACTTGGATGATCGAGACCTAAAATCAGGAGGCTTCCTGGATCTCCCACGCCCCTCCAAGGCCATTCCGGGCCCTCTTGGCTCAACCTGCATCACCAGCAGGGCAAGCAGAACGGTTGCCACGCGGACATCCGCGTCAATACGGCAGCCGGATTGCCTGCCGCCGTCTCTTTTTTGGGGGGGTGGATCTGTTAGGGGGGCAAATGGATGAATACAGCAGAGAGAGGAACGAAAGACCGTTGAAAGACCTATATAAGTTCTTGGCCATCTTCTGTGTGTGTGGGGAACATGTATATATGTATATATCATATACTGCAGTGTACAAAAATATACAGTATATACATGTAACATCTAAACATCTATAGCTCGGTTTCACAGCCGCTGCAGCCCTAGACCCGGTCATCCATATCAAATACAGCCAGCAAGAATTGCCTCAAAAGGATCACACCGTCACCATCAGATGTTCATCCTGACTCTGCTTTTTGGGGTTCCTTGTTCCCTGACTCGGAATGGGTCCATCTGAAATCCTCTGCACGACGGAACAGGATGCTTCACCTGGACCCAGAAGACAGTGGGTCCCATCCCCATTATGCGGCAGTGGGTCAACCAGTTCACGCTCATGTTTGGTATATCCCACTACCAGCGAAGTGGATTATGATGGTTGGTAAAAGCATGTAAAGGCCGTCCCCAAATAGTGATCATCGTTTACCAACTTTTACTGGTCATGGGATACACCATATGCTCAGGTTGATGAGGTTCATCCGGCAAAGGCCTCATCTTCACCCCATCTTCACCACCACCGGAACCAATGGCGTGTGTCTCCCTTGTCGATATCGAAACGCCCTCGGCGAGACTAAGGATTACAGCGGATAGTGGAAATTCAATCCAATAATAACAAGTAAGGGGCAAAACCTCAGCATGCGCAGAGGTTAACTGGAAATTGGTTGTTTTGTGATGAAAAGTCATGTAGATGTTGGTCGTTTGTATACCACACAGACATAGACAGGCAACCAAACAAGTAAATGGATTACATATCAATATACAATAGATTCATAAATGAATGGATGAATAGGTAAATGAGAAATACAAAATATTGATAAATTGATACATTGATGGATTGAGACCATTTCCCCACTTTTTTTGTCCCTCTCTTCAGTTGCCCGATTGATACACGCCACATCTGGCCTGATTCGCATGGCACGCAGTCGCACTTCGGTCGCATCCGTGTCCACTTCGACCAAGGCCAGGTCGGGGGATGTTTGACGGCGAATCTTGATTCGGCCACTTCTTGGACTTGTCATTGCAATTTGTGTTCCTTTTAATTTGTCATTTTCATTTCGGATTAAAACCTCAAGATGGGCAAAATGCTCTATGATGGTCGCAACGAAACTCTTTGAAGCTGCTGTATATGGAAATAACAACTAAACTGATCTGTCTCTATAGTTTAGGGTGTTCACCTCAGGTACAGGGTGTACAACGCCCGCAGGTATGTTTACCTCTTTGTAATATTTTGTAATGGCCTAACTGTCGGCAGAAGCCGCGTGTTCAATACAGCAATAGATTGAGTCGTGCCGGAAACAGCAGGCAAGCAGGCAACCATTAAGTACCACCACAGGTAGCCGAAGGCAGCCCACCAAGCAACCAAAACATCAAATCGAAACATGTTGCATTCTTGGTCATGACTCCATGTTGCCCGCTCTTAGGCAACATGCAAAGCAGCTCGGCTCTGAGGCACGACCTGGTCGTAGATCTGAGGTGCTCGCCTGCGAGCGCTAGAGCCCGAAGATCAGCGAGGCCATGTTTTCTCTCGATGTGCATCACAGGAGGTGGTCAGGTGATCGACTGATGTTGCTCGGTGTTTGCGTGGTGCCTGTCAGCCAACACTGCAGCAAGGTATATAACATGTTCTGTATACAGCACAGGGATAAAGAGAGACACCACCAGTTCGACTGTTCCGTTCATCTTTATCAAAACATGGATCCTCAGTGACCAACCTCATAGTCAAGTACATCAAGGCAAGGTGGATCTGCGGATCCTAGTCATCTTAGTGACTGTATGGTGGAGTCCCTGCGTTTGTAAGTGCCGAGAAAAACAAAAACGTCTTGCCCCACTTCAGAGACCTTGGAGACCTAGCTGTAGAACTGGGTGTGCATCGTCAACCAAACATGAAACAACTGTCTGAAACGTTCATTTGTCGGATGCAGGTGTCCCGGTTGCTTTGCATTCCCGGAGCGAAGAAACAGCGTCAACACTCGTATCCCTGCTTGGTCTTGGGTGGCAACGGCAATCGTTTCAACCAAACGGAGGGAAAACATCTTGGCATCGATCATGCACTGGTCGACTGTTAGCTTCCAGACGGTGTGGAGAAAAGAACATGGAAAACATGAGCAAAGCACCGATTCCACTGCAACGGAGTCATCGCTCAAGTCCGGTTCCCCGAGACAGGAAGGTTCAGATCATGCCCTGGAATCACTGCTGCTCATGTTTATGCTATAATTGCTATCATGAAGCTCAAAGAGGCTCATGTTAAAAAATATCATGGAAGCATATAGATTCACAGATGCTCATAGGCAAAAATGAGCTTCGTCTTCCCAAAAACACACTTTGCGATCCCTCGGAGCATCGATCAAATGCGCTCCCTTTCTCATGCGCTCAAATTCAGCTTCGAATCCCGTGCAGCTCAGAACGCGCGGAGAAAGTCGTGGGATGAACCCGGCGTTCGCGTGCAGCTCTTCGGTTGAACAGCTGTGGAGGGAAAACATTCTGCAGGTTCTTAGCTGATACAAGCACAAGCAAGGAGAAAATTGGATTTGATTCGCGAATGAATGAGAATATGTGGTTTCTGCCAAGGGATGTCGTCAAGGATGTTTTTGACCATCTGCGAAAAGATTGACCAAGGAAACATGCATAGTCTGGCAAAATGTAAGATTTGTCTAGAGATTCTAGAGTCTAAACATTCATTCATCGCCAGGACAAACAGCCATGATGTTCAACCTTGTAACGGCCCCGGCTCGCTGATGGGGATCAAGCCACAGCCATACTCACGGCAAGTCTCAGCCATACTTGTCCCGGTACCTCAGATATCCCAGTCGCATCACAGCATCCACACGTTTTGTGACACAGCCTCCAAGCATGACTATAGAACTGATGGACTTGTCCTGTCAAGTTGCCGTTTTCAGGATCTGTCCATCCTAAAATACGGCCTCCCCGGGGGCCTCCTGTTGCTGGAAGAGAATCCACCCAAATACCCACGTCCTAACCCGTGGGGATCTTCTGTGGGAAGCTCAGAAGCTGAAAACGACGGCTGCCACGGGACACGGGAAGCTCCACCGTCCGTCCATCGGTGACGGAAACCGGCCATTTGGTGGAGCCAGGCCTTCCTTCTTTGCGACGAAGCAAAGCCAATGGCCCATGAATCGTTTTGGAATAGAAACAAATCCTTCATGCATCTTCAGGCTTTGCTTCCACATGAATGAGCTGAACGGCACGTGCACAGAACTACCAGCACAAAGGCATTCTTATGTAATCTACCGTGAATACTCTTCGTTCTGGCAAGGTTCCAACCAAGCCTCTTGGACTATAGGAGCTCATTTTGTCATGTCCCGAAATCGGCTGTGTGTCTTGGGTCCGCAATCATGGGTCCATATCAGGTCCACATTGGTTCCCCTGGTCTGCAACAAGAAGCACCAGTCGTCTCCTCCTCCGTCGCTTGGCATCCCCCGAGCTCCCGCGCTTGGCGAGCATGGCATCCCTCTCCCGGCCGATTCGGTTGAACTCCTGGCAATTCGACCGCTCGGCGGTTCCTTCGCGCGCGCGCGCGCGCGCGCACGCGCCACGTCCGTGGGGGGGTCCACCGATCAGAGGATCATTTGGCATTCGGAGAGGTCGAAAACAAAAAAAAGGATCGGTCCAACAACTCCAAACCCCACCAAAAGACGTTCCCAGTAAATTGGGTGGGGTGGATTTGGATAGCAGTTTCCTAGTCGATTGTGTGTCTTTCTGCGGGTGTTGTTTCCAATGTATTTGGCTGTCTGGTTGCTAAATAAACACTTTGCCTAAGAATTCAACCCCTCAAGATGGACAGTTGAGCGACGAATGTGCTTTTCACATGGCAACCCATGAACAGTATGAAACAAGTCCCCTCATCAAAAAATGTTGCACAATCATGTGTGTATATAATATATACATATATACCTATAAATACTATGATATATTATGTATTCAAAGGAGGCCTTGGTTGCAACTGTCCAATCAGCCTGGTCTACACGTGTGATCAAATAAACTACTCAGGCATCAATCTTAGGCACCCTGCCAATAAGCCTCTTGTGATGTATGTCCTGATATGTTTGTTTCCACGCTTTCAAACTAAAAGAGTGTAGATGCTCGTGGGAGATGGATTTCAATTATTTGGGATACAATGCAAACCTGTTCACATCTGTTCACCGTGTGTCAGGAATAGAAAGCTTCATCTCGCAAGCTCTTTTCCTCTTGCTTGCTTGCAATCCCTGCGAGTCCAGTTCGTCTACGAGGCCAAAAGAGGCTTAAGAGGCAGATGAATAGTTCGGTTCGCCCAGCTTCCTTTGGATCCATTGCATCCTCCACCCTAAACCAATGGAGATCCCATGGCCCGGCCCGGCAGAACGGAACTCTCCGCGCAGCTCTCGTGATGCGAGAGAGCGAAGCTCCTCGAAAGCTCGCAAGGCACACAGGGCGTTCTCCTGCTTGCGCCTCACCTGGCCCACTCGCCCCGAGTTGGCACGCGTTCTCCCACGCTGCACGGCCAAAAACAGTAGAGTCTCAGCGGGTTTACCCCGTATAGAGCCTCAGTGGTGTGTTCTTTTGTGTTTCTTCTGGTGGTACCATGGTTTCTGAAGAGTGGTGCTCAGCGACTTTCGAGGGACCAGGTAGCTTCGAATTGATTGGGGTAACTGTCAGAGTTCTATGTCAGCAAGCGTGTCAGTGGTGTCAGTACATTTGACACTCATGTGTGCAGAACTGTTGCACCAGTTTGCAGTGTGCACAAGGATGTCACAGCCCACTGTTCAGTTTTTGGCGGAACTATGCAGCTGAAACAGTTGGCTAGAACCTTCTATGAGCTGACAGTTCTAGGGCATCTCTGTCCCATGCTGCTCCCCAGCTTATACGTGCTTCACAGGTCCGCATGAAACAGGGAGCTCCAAGCGACATCTGAAGGTTAGAGTTGTTAGGCCACCAAGAGGTCTAGTACTAAACCAACCCATGCAACGAGTGGAGATCGACATGAACCGACCAATAAAGGCATCCCTCAATAGCCACCGTATACATCCCCCAATTGAGGGATCAGGTGTTGGCATTCGATGGGGACTTTCACACTGGGCCAATTCGCCACGTGGCTTTCGGAGTCGTTTCAGCTCGCGTTCGGCGTCTCGGTGCCTCCGGATCTTCCGCCTGAAAAAGACGGCACGAGCGACGCGTGGGGTCGCGTGGTGTTTGGTTCGATGTGCTCACCAACGGGTCTGAAGCGTTGGTTTGGTTGCCCAAAAGGATGCGATGAAAAGAACCACGACGCAAGAACCACTATAGTAAAACATCCTAGAATCCTTTGGGCGCAAACAGCCTCACTCTCACTCCGCTCTTCGGGAAGGCAAGCTGGCATGCTTTCGTGGTTTGGGTCGGGAAGGCTCTGTTGGTTTGCGGTGGTTTGTTGGCATGTGTTAACCTATGCAACTTGGATGTTCAGCGATCCTAGATTTGTCATGGCTTAAGCAAGTGAAGGGTCGGGCAGCCTGTGGCAGTGGAACTCCTGAGCTTCAAAGAGTACGCAAGTGAATGCATGAGCTGTTGCTGACTCCGCTATTATTGTTGATATGCCAAATGTAGCAATGTACAATCGTAAATGGGAAAAAATCAAAGCAAAAGGAAATCCACATGTGAGACAAGTTTACTTTAGTAGGAGTATATAATACCCTTGAACAACTCTTAAAGAAGTCTGAACAAGAAAACTCGTGCTTTCATTAAAAGTGTGCCTCCGCAAAACTGCCTATGCAAGTCTTTCAACAACCACCTACGCAAAATGCTTACACGCCTACGCCCCAAGCAGAACAGCCTCCGCAACTTCTCAACAGTTCCCTTTTTGTATAAACCTAATCATTTGCAAAAAAGAACGTCCCTCATTTGGGGATACCTCACAGTGACAGACTCACAGCAAATACCCTGCGAACGATACGGCTGCAGGCTGGCTGCTGACTGGAAAGCTAATAACAATAATTAGGGGGCATCTCACATCATGCACCCCCCACCCCAAACGATCCAAATGATTTGCTGGGTGCCCGTTGTTGTGGTCGTTGATACGGCTTTTCAATTTGAGGGGGCGCCCAAAGGTCTTGGACACGCACAACCGTCGCGCGTGCGCTGAAAGCGCTTTCCGGCAAAGCGCGCCTCGTCTTCGGTGTCCTCAACAAAAAAGAGCACCCGAGTGGAGGAGCTCTTGTTCGGCAAATGCAGGTTTTGTCTATATATATATATATACTTGGAGTGGCAGCATTCTCTGGAACAAAACCCCGACGAGTTGTATTTCAAACAATCCAAGTTGGCTGGCTGGTGGTTTCAACTCACTTGAATGTACTGTATATATATATATACCAGGACCCTCCAAGGGGTGTCTATTTATAGCCCCTTAGCTGTTAAGGGGTGTCCATTAACCACCCCTTGAGGGTCCTGGTAATATATTTATTAGTCAGTGGAATCAATCATCTCAAGATATCAAAGATATCTGAAACCATCACCCAGTTGATGCAGTGCCCCTGCTAGCTAGACTACAGCAAGTAATTGTATGGTTT